AGACAAAAAATTACTTTGCAGCCATTATCACGAGAAAGCAAACAGCAGCGCATATTAGATTGTAATATTCTCAAGATAGTGTCAAATTTATGGAGTTCATGGTTCATTTATGCAGTGAGAGCAAACACACACACAGAACATTACAACCCATTTTTCACAGTTTCTGTAATTGACAATTAAAAGTCGTCACTGAGAGAGTAGTAGGAAATATAAAGACAGATGAAAAGGGGAACTACTCAGATTTCGCCGGAGGAAGAAATTGAGAGCAACAAGGGCGGCTCTAGGGTAAGCACTACTGTTTTATAATATAACAGTAAGTCAGTAACAAAACCATAATGCAAACAAAACCAGAAAACTTTCTAAGATAGCAGTTAAACTAAAATCATATTAATCACAGCAAAAATATATCAATGAAATACAGAAAATCGTAGCCTTTTGGAAATTTTCATGATTAAGTTCCTCAATGTTCATCCGCACGCTCCTCAACAAATTAAATCGATTTCACAGAAAGTGGAAAAGGAAAAGAAAAAGAAAGTACCTATTTAACCTAGTAAGACTTCAGCCAGTTACACACGCCTTCTTTTTATAATTCTTCGAAAAGCTCGCAGCTGTGGGGGAAGGAGGAAGAAGAAGAGCCAAAAAGGTTTATTTGGGAGAAAATCTGAAATTTTTTATACACGAGGATTTTGTTAGTTTGTTGCTCCTATTTGGGGTAGAAGTCGGTGTGTCCGACCCGTTCACTGACTATGGTTTTCGCGGGTCGGACTGTCCATATTCGTTTTCTAAATTTCGAGGAAAAGACTCAAATGATCCCTATTTTTACTCTTCGTCGTCCTGTTTCCTGATTTACAATGTAGGGGTATTTTTGTCACTTTGTACTTTCTAAAGACTGCTCAAGAGTTGGTATGTGAAATAAATTATTTGTACGACTCTGGCAAGTTGTATGAGGCTCCTTATCTTATAAATTTGTGGACTCCAATCTTACACTTTTGGGTCCACAAAAATTTGAGTCCATAAAATTGTGAGATAAAAAAGTTGTCTCATACAATTAGTGTCAGTTGTATGAAACACAAAATAAAAAATTTCGCTTGAAGCTGTACCAATTATTTGAACTAAATTATTTTTTCAGTTTTACTCTCTTCTTGCTTTCTTAACTGAACCATGTTATTTTCCTGAAATCTTGGTGGGTGTCCAGCAGCTTCTCTATTTGTTCGGATATTTCAGTTCTGAATTTTCATACGCGTGTCAACCTTTGCACACTAATACATTGTAGGTGGTTTAATTTGTTAATGTCTTAATCAACATAATCTTTTGATTTTATGCATGTGCTGACCTTCTCTCAAACCTTTATTTTTTCCTTTTTTGTTTAAGTGTGCACTTATAGAAATACTCTTAAATCAGACCATTTCTTCCATCTATATTGTTGTTACAATTTATTTTACTTTGTATTAGCAAGAAAAATTAGATAGAGATATATGTATTTTCAGATTCATACCAACCTACAAATATTAAATTAAATTATACAAAGTTGTCAAGTGTTTGGAATAGAAATGTGTGGCAACAAAGATACTATGGATTTATTTCTGTATTTTTCAAAAGATTGAGGAATGACAAATTGTCGAATTTTAGACATCCCACTGGCCACTGCAAACTTCGGTTTTTCCGCAGTTTGATGTAATTAAGGTGTTTGATGATACGCTTGAAAAAACTAAATGATTCTTATGCTCCTCTGTGAAAGGAAAATGCATGAAAAGTAGAAGCCATTGCAATTTAAAGGAATATAAACAATTTGAATGGACAATTTACTGTTAATATCCAGGTTTTATGCAATAATGATTCTGGAATTGGATTGACTCTATTTGAACGTTCTTACAAGATTATTGATAATATTTGTTGAATTCGAAGGCAAATTGACTGATCCTTTCCTTCCCAATAATTTTTCCTCTATTTTCAAGATATGTCGGTGATAATAAGCGAAATCTAGGTGATTTAGCTATTGTTTATGCTTCCGCTTGATTATATTCCAACGTAATAATATGGTTAATTGATGAAAAATAAGCTCTAATTGTGATTTATATACATTGTAGGATGAGGAGCTTATATGATGCTTTCAAGAGGCTATTGGAATGATTTATGAGCAAGAACGACCCCTCGGAGCTGAGTGCGCGCAAGAACGAGACAAATAATGGAAGAAATCATGGCCCAGATGCGCGAGCAGGCGCGCGAGTTAGCGCAGTAGTTCGCGCGTGTTAAGGGCTGAGGCAGAATGACGCGCGAAGTGACGCGCGAGCTCGCGCGAGGCCGGTCCGGAAAAGAGTTATTTAGGGGTAAAATTGGAAATATGGAGAGAAACCCACTTAACCTATATAAAGTCAAGCTCACCCAAGGTTAAATTATCAAGGTTTTCATAGGGTAAAGCTTACTTTTGAGAGTACTTTGGCAAGAAAAAAACAAGTGTGAGAGATCACCCAAAACATCATTATTCTTATTCTCTTTTATTTTTCTTGCAATCTTCGATTATGAATCTTCTAGTAGTTTATTCCTCCATTGTTGTGAGTAGCTAAATACCTTAATCTAAGGTTTTGGTGGAACCCGTTGGGGATGACTTGGTTATTTTATTAATATAGTTGGATTTGGTTGTTAATCTCTATTTGTTCATCTATGTTTTGATTGTGGTTAGTTGAAAGGGCCCTCAATTATCCGTTCCTATTTATTATGTATCTACTTGAGAGAGAGTGCATATTTAGGTGATTGTATGAACAACATCACTCCCGGAGTATAGGCGAGAGTCATAACCGAGGGTTTAGAGGTTGGATTAGAGATAACGATACCTCGGGTGTGATCTAAGTGAACTGCAATGCGAATCTAGCTAGCGTAGCTTGAGAGAGTGCGTCTAGTAAATTATCATAATTGCTTGAGAGAGATTTATGATAGCTGGAGAGTTCATGCTTGATAGAGGCAACTAAGTCAACGCTATAAGAAACATACAACCAAGGAAATCAACAACGGGGGAAACCATTACCTTAGACCTTTATTCTACTTGTTTACAATTCAAGCATAGTTAGTTTTCAGCTGTTTATTTATTTTCAATCTTGTCTTCTTGGTGATATTAAACAGATACAGCTAAGCCTTAGTTCTTTGTGGGATTCGACTCCGGACTTTTAGACCGGATTATATTTGCAGCGACCGCTTATCCTTTTTAGGACTAGAGTTAGGCGTGATCAGTCGGCCTAAAATTAATCTTATTAAGCCTATTACTTCACTCCTAACAGCTCTATGCTATTCATGTTTTGCAGTAATAGTTCTACCTTCAAGTTTTCTAATTAGCTTCATATTCCCTATGAATAAAAATCTTGATCGGTGGATTTTCATGTTCTGTGGTAATATGAAATATAGAACATGTAGATGTTGGATCTTCGCCTTTTGTTCCAGGTTATTTTTGGAGTTGTCTTTACTCCATCAGCATACTATAGTTTGTAGTGAGATTGGGTGGATTCCTTAGCTTTTAGCTTTGATTAACCCATTTTAAGCTTATTGTAGTTCCTCCCTCGCATGCATGTGGAATTGTTTTTCGGCCAGCATGTATATACACAATCTTTTTACAATTTTCTACATATATAATCACTTTTCCGGTGTAAATCAATTTAAAACATATTCCATAGGAGAGCGGGAAAGAATTTAAAGTAAATTAGTGCATCATGAGTTCTCCAACTGTAAAAAGAAAGCACTGTATTTGAGAGAATGAATATAACATCAACTGAAGATAATGAATTTAGGAAAAATTCTTTATTTTGTCAGACAAGTCAGCCTATTTTATGTGTCTGTTAATGTGCCAGAATGATATTTTTAGTGATTAGTATCTATTAGAACACAAACAAAGAAGGGAAAGAATGGGGAAACAATTTGCTTTCACCCTACGGAGATGAATTGAACCATAATTGTTTTTTAATGTTTGCTTCGATAATAGACTGTTGCCAAAGTCTGTACGAAATTCTCTTTTATTAAATCCTGAAAGGTTCTCCCATGAAAATTGGTGAATTACATGTTATTTTGATCGATCAGTCCACATCATAAAATAATGGAATAACAAAGTAGTGCACACCAACAACCTTTTTTCTTCGCTGTACCATTACATTTGAGACAGTGACGTTACAATTTCCGTAGAGAATTATTTCTAAGAGTATTTTCGATGCCCAACATGTTCTGCATGTTGACCACGAGGGAAAGCCTGAGCTTGGTCTCTGCTTTTGCATGTGCCGATTTTGAAACTTTTTTGGATGAATCCTGTGAGAAAACACCCAAATCAAAAGTAAGAATATCACCTACTTTAGCTTTTTTAAGGCTAATCTTCGAGAGTGGTTTCTTCTTCATTGAAAATTAAGCAAAAGTTTAAGCAACTACAATTTTGGTAGAGTATTTGGAGCTGAAATCTCTAAAAATGGAGAGGGATTTTTGAAGAAGTAGAGGGATTTTTGCGGAAGATTGAAAATAGGCGTTAATGATGGAAATACTGAAGATATGCTGGGGGTACGGAGAAAGAAATGTGGGGGAAATGGGATATGGAGAGAGAAACATGGGGGAAGTGGGATTTGTACGTTAGAGTGATTTCAGGAATTCCTTAATTATCATTCAATTCATAAAAATGTAGATAATTGGTAATTATGTATATATTATGTAATTAAAGTAAAACTTGAGTAGGGAGGGTAATAAAGTTTTTAATAATGTATACCTATGTAAAAATCCCATAAAAAAATAGAAAGTATCCGTTGGGCCCACTTAGGCCCGGGACCATTAGTTCGTGGGCCGGTTCCTAAAAAAGCCCACGAAGCCCGGTCCCGCGAAGCACGTTTAAGTTGGGACCGGGCCCACTTAGGACTAGCCCACAAAGCCCACTTAGGCCCGGCCCGGCCCATATGCCAGCCTTAATTCAAAACCCACACCGGAGAGTGTAATTTTTTGAAAACAAAAAAAAATTACACTCTACACCGGAGAGTGTAATTTGCATAATGCAGTTATAAGAAAGGCTTCTATGTACATGAAATATGAACCTGTTAAGTGAAAATAGTTGTCTTCTTCTAAAGTTAATAAAAAAGAATCATAACAACTTATTCAAAAAGGGAGCAAATTCTATGTTGAGTCAACAAATGGATGGTTCAATCTTAAAGTTTTAGTCAAACTTGCCTTACAAAGATTGAACTCTAAACTTGATTTTGCAAAATAAGAGCATACAAGGAAGTTGTCGGTGGAAAAGTGAGAGGAAGTGAATCTTTATAAGTTAAAATTTAGATGCACTAAAAATATTACAATATCAAAAGACGAGAAGTTATTGAAAGAAGCAAAGAAAGTGCTACGGAGGAGCGATTAAGTCCCAAAAATTGGAAGGTTTGAGATGACGTTGTTAGTGACCTTGCCGCAATCTGCGATTTCATAGTTATTCTCAAGGGCACGTGCCTATGTGAATTCGGTGAGTATTTACTTCAGTTAGGATGTGATTCCATTAGATCTGGTTTACTTTGTTTAAAATTTCCTTTGTGGCAATCTATATGTTGGTGTAATGTGATCGTATTTGTTGAAAGACTTCCTTTTTTTTGGAAATTTTTAGGGCTATCTTGTAGGAAGACTGTAGCAGATTCAACTGCACCAATTCAGGAGAAGGCTCTTGATGTCTTCATTTGTCACTTAAAATGTTGATGCTGAGGCTGGGAGGTATACTTCATTTTAGTTTTATTTTGTTTCATTTGAAGAAGTAGCAGATATGTGAAAGAAGTATGTGATGCAACAGTGGCTAAATGCATGATCGGGAGGCCAAAGACAGATTATTCTCAATTGTTGTTTCCTGTATTTGATGTTTTCGTCCAAAGTTATAACCTTCGGCTAATGGCTGCAGTTTAATAGGATGGGTTTGACTGATTTAGTGGGTGTTCTAGCCAATTGCTAAGTACTACTGAGGATCTAACTAAGTAATTGTAGTCTGTAATTCAGATTCTTCGTTTTTGTTTTTATTGAAATGGTTGGCTAAATCCTCAATTTTGTTCCTAGAAAAATCGTTGCTATATTTTGTTTTTTTTTATTGTAGCTTTTCTTGTGCGTATATTATCTGCCATGGAGTCTAGAAGCTTTTTGAGGGAACTGAAATCACTCGACAAAATTTTGTTGATGGGGGGTGGATGTCAATTTCCTTTAAAAGGGTACGGGTTGGTATCTAATGTTTGTACCTAGCAGCGTGGGTGCTTGTGTTTTCCACTTGGAAAACTGGAAAATGCAATTTCTTCGGATACTGTGATTCTAACGTGTGTTGATATTGTGATTCTAATATATTGATGAATGCTACTCTATGGTGTTGAGTTAAATAATGGGACTTCCTCGAAGAACTTAGTGTTACCCAAATTCCTAAGGAAGTGATCTTCGTCACTTTGCTCTCTATTACCCATCCTCATGTTCAATTTACACAATCGATTTAACTTAAAAGCAGTGGAAGTTGCAATAGCTATGTCTATGATAAGTTGGATATTGATGTAGGGGTTTCTATAAATTCCTATTTAGGCCCTAGGAAGAAGATGTGGTGGTAGCATGGTCGCAGGTTTCTAAGAAATGTTTGTGTGAAAGGCGATGCTCTTTTTTAGTTAGTAATGAGTGAGTTAATTTTATTGGCGTGTTCATTTGACCTTCATAACCCCGTAACGATAAGACACCTGATTTTGGATTGAAAAATTCAGAGTTATGGTAGATCTTACCATTTTAGTTAGTGAAACAACATTCTCTTTGTTTGAAAGTGTTTAATACAGCCTTGTTTGTCATTATATGTTATGAACCTGTATTGTTGTAGGTAGTTCCAACGTAATTATGAGCAAACGTCTACCTTATATTGTGCTTTAGTTTTTAGTTCTCACTTCTCTGTAGTATATATGAAATCACTGAGACTTTATTTCCTTTTAACTTATCATAAATAACTTATTATCTACTCTAAGCACATATATTGCTTGGTGGTAAAAGCGTTCTTCTTTGGTAATTGTCATATGAAAATTAGTTAACTCTAAAGTGCTATTCGGGTATTCTTTTGGTCATCATCAATAAACTAAAGCTGACTTCTAAGTAAATAATAAGTTCAGCAGAAAAAAAGTTGATCATTTGCTGAAACTCTCATTTATTGTGCTTATAAGCACACTAAAATGAATAAATTAAATAGGATTCTGCTAGGTTCTTCATTATAACTTCTCTGTGTTTATGACGTTAAGAAACCTATATGTTTTCTTGAAAAGAACATATGCATGCCATTATAATGAAAGAGTTGATACTAAAGTAAAAGGTCAAAACTCTTAATCTTACTGAATTAGGTGAAGATTACATATCATGTTTGGAAGAGTTTATAGTAAGGTATGAATTACAAGCATATTTCCTTTTTAATTATAGATAGTCAAAGAGTATTTGGTTAGAATACATTAACTGTAAGGTATTTTAGAAATACTCATTACGGATATACTGGAAGAAGTAAGCTCCTTGTTATTTTTAACCGTCGACCTTAACACATTCAATGATTCAAATGTGTGTGTAAGATTTCTAAAAGGTTTTTAATTTTTCGTTTCAAATATAAACTCATTAAATTTCAAAGTAAGATCATATTTTGTCAAGATTTTTCACGTGAGAGAGAGGGAGCGAGAGAAGTAATAGGTTATTTTTCTTTGGAACTGTATTAGAACAGTTCACGATTGGTGTCATGACATGTGCAGCTTGTGTAAATTCTGTTGAAGGTATCCTTAAAATGTTTCCAGTAGTAAGAAAGGCAGTAGTTGCTTTGGCTACATCACTAGGCGAGGTTGAATACGAACCATCCATAATCAGTAAGGACGATGTAGTGAATGCAGTTGAAGATGCTGGTGTTGAAGCTTTCTTAATACAGAGCTTTATTCCTCTAACATACCTCTGCTTTACCCTTTATTACTTTGGCAGTGTGGTCCCTTCCTAATGGGTGATTGGCTAAAGTGGGCTTTAGTGACTATTGTCCAATTTGTCATTGGTAAGCGTTTTTACGTTGCAGCAGGAAGAGCACTTCGAAATGGTTCCACAAACATAGATGTCTTAGTTGTAGTGAGAACAACATCTTGCTATGTTTACTCTGTACATGCACTACTTTATGGTGCAAAAAGACGTCAGATGCTATCAAAAAGTCGTAGAACTGACTCCACTATATTGCTTGTCAAAGATAAAGGTACAAGTATTCGGAATTTCTTTTATTGTTTCAATAATAGTGCCTATCAGGTTTTTTTATACTACTGGCAAATGTATGTAAACAAGCAACAACTTCTCCCAAAGTGCAAAAACCAATTCTGATAACAAAGGACTCACTTTGAAGTTATGTTTGATCTGTCTATAGGTGGAAGAGTCGTAAGTCAAATAGAAATAGATGCTTTGTTGACTCTACCTGGTGATGTACTCAAAGTGCTTCCTGGTGCAAAAGTTCCGGTGGGTGGCGTGGTTTCAGATCATGTTAACAAGAGTATGGTCACTGGAGAATCTGTTCAAAGAGGTGAATTCAGTAGTCATTGGTGGTACAATCAGTTTACATGGTTCGCTCACATACAGGCTACAAATAACACAGTCTTGAGTCAGATTATATCTCCCGCTGGGCGCTGGTTCAGATGTCAAAAGCTCCTATTTATGTGAGTATTATTTGGCATGTCTTTTGTCAAAGTAGTGTCATGGCTCTTGCAAAGTAACTGTTTCAGCGGTGTACAACTTTATTATATTTGCTTGCTCTAGGACTAATTACCGACGGCCTTGGAAAAGCATCTATATATATATATAAAGGAGGGAATGAAAAAGATACTTGGCACCTCTCTTAGACTAGGATTGTCATTTATCTTTTTTCTCCTTTTTTGGCAATTTTTCTTTATTCATCTCATTCATTCTATATATTTGTTTTTTTTAAATAAAGTCTCACTCACTATATTTAATAGCCCACTAAGCACTAAATCAAAAAGACATTGTAACTGTTGAAAGTTACAAAATAATTTAACGTTTGAATGTTATTCTTTTGAAACCCTTAATCTTCCATGTAAACACTATATATTCTAAACAGTAAATTTTTATGAGAATAAATAATAAGCTTATGAGAAGAAACGTAATAACTTGGAAAATAGGAAGTGCAGATTCATGAAGGTGTGCTGGAGGTATCATTTGTTATGAAATCCTGATTTATCTTTTCATTTCACATCTAGAGATTTTATTGGTTCATGATTTTATATATATATATATTTTCATTCCCTTCAATTGAATAACTAATAACTTTACTTTTCAATTTTTTCAAAGGCTTGAGTAGTTTTTCTTTTCTATATTATCTCCTCTTTATGTCTTTGGGAAGAACGAGTGTAGTCTTTATGGAGAAGGAAGTGCATAAACAAAAAAATAGAAGGTGTGAAATGGTGCAAGTGTCCTAGGTAGTTTCTAATACGCATATGTATAAAATTAGGATATTTTTGTGCAAATATATAAACTGAGATACTCTATTGCTCTTGGGTAAATATATGCAAGAGGAGTAGAAATACGTAAAGGAGCAACTTGATATATTATGTTTACAATGATTGGTTATCTTTATGTGACTATGTCAAAGGCTATGAGGCAGGAAAGAAAAATTACACAACGGCAAAAGAAAAGAAAAACTACACAAAGGTATGACTAAAATTCTATTATTTTTTGTTTTTGTTTTTGACATGGTAAATGCATAAATGTACTATGACATTGATAAAATAAAGTATAAGATAGCAATAGCTTTTGAGAAAGGATAACGGGTCAATTTATGAGATGTAGTAGTTAAAAGTTTTTTGTTATATATATATATATATATATATATATCTCGTAGATGATTGAAATTTATATCGGCTATTTTAGTTTTGCTTCCTTATCTTCTTTGAAGTCCATTCTATTACTCCCTCTGGTCCAGTTTAATTGATTTTTTGTCTATTACATCGGCTATTTTAGTTTTTTATCTTGATTCAGGTAACTTCTTTTTCCTTCTGATTTCAAAGGAGATTGGGACTTCTAATAGTTCATTCTCAATTTCTTTCTTTTTTGTTTGTGTTGAGTGGGATGCTGACTTTTCTTATTTATTTTAAAATTGCAGGCAACGTTTTTTGTTGTATATTCTCCTTTTAATCTTTTTATGTGCTTGCTATTTTAAGCATTTGATTTTTCTCTCATTGGTGTTCAGGGAATAAGTGAGAATTAAAGAGGTAGAGAGTACTCTTCTCATACAAAATGAGAATAACTACTAATGCTTTATATGTCTTTCAGTAACATTCATAAAAAGGATTCATATTTTTTATTTTCTTGCCCTTCCATTTTTATTTTATTTTTGTGCAGTTTTATTTTAAAAAATCACATCAATAATGCTTTGTTTCTCTTTAGTACATATCATTATTATGCCTTTAAATCTCATTGGTTACCTATGGTTATTACGCATTGAGGTTCTTTGATTACTTGCTATCTTTATTTTAAGAAATTAGAGAAGAAGAAAGAGGACTTTTGTATTTCTTTATTTCTAAATAAATGCGTAAGGAGTAATAATGGAAAAGGAAAAAGAAAAAGGAAAAATGAAAAAGGAAATAGAAGAAAAAGGTAACTGAAATGGAAAAGGGAAGGAAACAACTAGAGAAAATATTTGTAAAATTTGATTCCGTTGATTTGTGTCACAGATTTGATTTTACCCTTCTTCTTTTAATTTCTTTCATTATATTGTCTTGGGTAGGTCTAAAAGATTAAAAACTCGTAAGTGGTGGAAAACCAGAAAAAGAGTCATAAAACTAATTTGTCAAATGAAAAATGGATTAAGAATTTGAAGTTTAATCTGTTGTATTTGAAAAAAGGAGTTTTGTCTTTTTCCTTCTTTTTTTTTTTGGAAAAATGAACGGGTAAGAATGTAAGAAAGGAAAAAGAAATAGAAGAAAAAGGAAAATGTAATTGAAAAGGGAGGGAAAGAATTAGAGAAAATATTTGTAGAATTTGATTTCGTTTATTTGTGGATATATTTGATTTTACCTTCTTTTTTTTTTTAATTTTCATTCTGTGTTGTTATTATCTTTATATTGGGGAGGTCTAGAAGACTAAAAACACTTATGTGATGAAAAATTAGAAAGAGGTTTTAAAACTAATTTGTTAGATAAAAGGTGGATTAAAATTTAATTTATTGGGTTCGAAAACTGTATGAATCTTTAACATATTCGAATATTAGTATAGGGATTATTTTGTATGTCGATAAAGTTTTTAACAACCGCGCGAAGCGCGGGCAAAATTAACTAGTTTATGAATAGAATTCACCAATTCTAAGAATGTCCAGATAGGAACTAGACTTAGTACGTATACACTAGACTTAATACGTATACAACCTATCACCAAAGCGCAAGATAAAAATTGTTTGACTAGTTATACAAAGGACTTGAAATTTAATATTACAATTGAAAGTATACTATACTAGAAAAACCAAACACAGTCGCAAATCGTCTACTTCAATAGAAAGATCTATTGAATCATTAATAGTCTCTTGACCACTCATCTTAAGAACCAAGAAACTTAATTTTAAAAAAATTAGTTTAGTGCACCCAATAATTTATTAAATAGATACTTCATCTGCTACTGTAGATAGGCTGAAATTTTTGGCCTCATTGACTTCCATTTCATGCTACATGAGTCAATACAAAGTAAAAGATATCAACTAAAAATGGTAGATGCATTAACTCATTTCTCCAATAATCTACTCGATCAAAAGCTCTAGAAGAATAATGCTGAAAGCATAGACACCATTGCTAATAAATGTGGACTTTCAATATTGCCACGAAGGACTATATCCCAAATAACACATCAGAATGTGTACCTGAAACGCCTGTATTATAACTCCTCCACAAAATTGATCTTAATATACTCTATAAAAAATTATTCACTAAAATGATATAAATTTTTAACTTAATGCGTTCGGGCCCGGGCTTAGCACGGGGCATCCTCCACTAGTATCTGATATAATCGATAGCCCAAATCGATAAAAAGATATTGGATTATCGATATTAGTTTATTGGATAAATAGTTCGATAACGGTTTAATGTTGCCTAATTTTATTAACGGTTTAATCAATAGTCCAATAAGCTTTAACAAAATTATAATTTTACCCACTAAGTATATAAAGTCACCTTATAGCTTCATTCTCTCATTTTTTAAGTTCTCTCGGCAGTTAATCTTCTTCAGACCTTAATCCTTAAAGCAAGTTTTGAACTTTTTCTGAATTTCTTATCTTTGCCTTACAAAGATTGATCTCTAAACTTGATTTTGCGAAATAGAAACTTACAGGGAAGTTGTCCTTGGACAAGTGGGGGCAATTGAAACATTATAATATGAAATTTGAATGAAGTAAAAATTTTACAATGTCGAAAGATGATAAGTTGTTGAAAGAAGCGAGAAAATTGCAACAGGAAATGACATTAACAGTAACATCGCTGCATTCATTATTAATACTATGGGCAAAAAGCAGAAGTTGTTACTGCACAGTGGCGGACCCAGGATTTCAAGCAAGCGGGTTCAATAAAAAATAATATTAATACCGACAAGTAAGATTTGTCTGATGCCCTTTTTACATTAAATTCATAATGCTACCACAAAATGAACAACTTAAAAAAGTTGCAGTCAACATCCCTTTTTTCTATAAAAGAAAGTTGAACAATTTTTTTTAAATATTTAACAAAGACCACTTACTTTAAGTAAATATATTAACAATTTATCTATTTAATTTAAGAATTTTATTTCAAAGAATTTCACCTTTGTTACTTTAACTAAAAATCTATTTACCCAGTTTAGAAACCTTCTAGACTCTAGAAATTGGGAAAAATCTAAAATCTGTAACGAAAAAAGTCAGCTAATTTACAAACAAAAGACAACGAAAAAAATAAAGAGTTATGACTTAAACTAAACCAATACAAATTTATGAGAGAAGAGAGCTTATATGGTAAATTAATAATTTTAATGTAACATAAAATAAACAATTTAAGTTGAACTAACAAATTATAAATAATTTTATAGATTTCACTTGCATATTTTAGAAAAAATAATGTAAGATTTCATTTTTGTTTACCTCGAAAAATGTGAGTAACAACTAAAGATAATTTATGGTTTTAAAGATATGTGATTTATTCTAATACTAGTGAATATACAAGTAATATTAGGTTTAAATGAGAAGAATTGATGAACTAAACCAATATTGTTAGAGCATAGGGACCTCGAGCTTGATTATCCCGGGGGCCTCGAGGTGAGTTAAGAAATAATGAAGTATGAACAATAAAGAAGAAACAATAAAGCTGCAGAATAATTATGGAGCACAATAAGCGAGAAAAGCAGAGTGGAATGTTCTATTGCTGAGTATCAGATGTCTTTTACAAAGATTGTGGTCCCCTTTATATAGAAGGGGAAAACCCTAATACGGTACATTTCCAATTATGACAAAGAATTCTATTGGTACAGCTGTATAACAATCTAGTACGGACTTGTACTATTTCGTACAAATCTTATCCCTTATTTCATACTCTGACCCACGTGTCCTTGAGAAATTCCCGCTCTTTTTTAGTGTCATCGAAATTGTACTGCCCTCGACGAAGATGACGCCGGGTCTTTGATTTTCTCGAGGTACGCATTTTCCAGTCAGCTCTGGTCTTTACTTCGTGCTGCCCGAACTCGAGTCCCGGGGTTCCGTTGAGTCTTCGAAATCGAGCTCTCCGATTTCGACCGTATACAATTTTGTAGAAAAGTTTGATCCTCATAAAGTAAAATAAACTGTAAAATATTTCCTACTAGATTTTAGTAAAGAGATGAAATGTAAAACAAAAATAAAGTACAAAAATAAAGATAAAAACTAAAGCTCATAGAGGAAAAGGAAGAATCAACTAACAAGGGTAACTATTTATTAGTCCCTTAAGCCTACAAAAACTACGAAAATATGCAAAAGAAGCTGCCCAAGGGTTGCAGCCGAGTTTCGAACTCACGACCTACACTAAAGTTGGAACCCGTTTGACCATCTTTCTAAAGGATCATCTTCAGTCAAGTGTGTTCAACAAAGGGTTATATTTATATTTTACAGAATTTAACCTATATAAAATACCAAATTTTTCAACGAAGCGGGTTCATATGAGCCCTTTTGGCTCTAGGTGGGTCCACACCTGCTACTACAGCATCGACTTAAATACCAAGAGTCAAAGACACGTACACCTCCTGAGAAAATAACTATGGATCGCTTGACTGGAATAATATAATGGATCCACCTGAATGCTCTACGAACACTTCTTACATTCTCCATCCAGGTTAGAAGATACGATTCTCCGTGCATTATCGCTTTCACCTTGTGTCGCAGAGTTATCTCTCATTTTAAATAGTCAACTTCCTCTACGCTTTCTCTTAGAGGTAGCTTTTAATACATCTAAGGATCATCCTCTGCCTTCTGCTTTGGGTAACGAAACAGATGTACTGCATCCACTTTAATTTCTATCTATGAAAAAGGTGAGTATGACGCCTTCTACGCTTACTTTTCCACTACTAAGCCATCATTTTGTGCCATCTAATTAAGGACCACCTAACTTGGAGCCCATATGGATGAGCTTGTTTTAAGTAACTTTTAAGCCAAAAGTCATAAGTTAGGAATTCTAGCTTTTGGCTTGTTTTTGTCATTTTAGCTTAAAAACAAGTGCTTAAAAGCACTTTTTTTACTTTATCCAAACACTACAAAATGACTTAAAAACTATTTTGGCTTAAAAGCACTTAAAATACGCAAATCCAAACGGGCTCTTGGTCTTAGGTTCAACGTCAGCAGTACCCGGTGAACTACGTAACAAAGACTCCGAAATAGTTATGCCTAAAGGTTCGATCGTTTGGTTTTCTGTCCGTCGAAACACTAATTATTTCCTTTGGTTCACCTTAATTTTAACGGCCTATTTCCAATATATAGGTCGTACACCAACTACAAAGTCTGCTCCAATTATCGGCCAGTTGCATGCGTTCAAACTATGCACCGCTGAAGAAAGTTCCAATCTGCAAATTTTGCTTAGCAAAGAGATTTGAATATGAACCGCCTGCATTTTGCCGTGGCAGTGGGACAATAAAACTTCTCATCAAATACCTACCAAACTGCGTAATTTATTTCTTGGAAACAGTGTGGAGTCCAAATAGTACTTCCGAACATACATTAGAACGTATAATAATCTTTTTGCGTTCACATCACTTGGTATAAAGTATGACAAAGATTTAGCAAAAAGAAGCTTTGGTATCTACACCTTTAGAGTTCTACGGGAAGATGTACCACTGGATAAATACCTGCACCCTACATATGACAAACCAAGAAATATACAGCTGTACTTTTATGATAACTGCAATGAGCTGGCACATAGGATGGCATGTTCCGACAGAATCCACAAATCAATAGTGAAAGAATTTATGGATATATTATCAATAAATTCATACTCTGTGTTTTTACGATCTTTGCTACATATATCGAACCTTCAAGATTTCCACATATCCCTCAAATACGACTTAAATTTGGACCAGAGAGTATATAATTTGCCGACTTCATCTAAAATTGCAGCAATATGGACCGAGGAAAATGATAGCGCAGCCTTTAATGCACCACATTTTCAAATTTACCCTCGCACTGATCGAACACAAATAGTGAATTACTATTATGTCTGTTATAATGCATTGCAATATCCGCCATTGTTTCCGCTAGGGCAAAGTGGATGACATTGTGGTATTAAGAAGCTCCCAGCAAAGTGTCCTACGTACTTAAGAACTGCGCATCACGAAGAGGTACCAAGTATAAGAAATGTTACGTCACTTGACAGATATCTTGAAATGGAAGCTGAAATTCTTAAAAAAGGACAGCGACGAAGAGATACAGTTTCTGTTCGCGAGTATTATTGTTACAAATTACAAATTAGAAATGATGATGAAGATGAAATATTGCATACTGAAAGAATATTTCAATAATATTCAGTTGATGAATACATTAAACTCGAAACACAAAAGGTTGGATTTCGCAGCGTTCAATCAAGATTTATTCAGGATGGCTATGCTACAAGGACTTCTTGACATCTTGCGATTAGGTGAACGCGATGCTTCTAGTATCGGGAAACAAAATTTCCTTCCAAGCTCTTTTATTGGAGGGCCCCGGGATATGCGACAATGGTACATGGATGCTATTGTGTTCGTGCAACATTTCGGTGAACCTGATTTATTTATAACTATGGCATATAATCCCTCTTGGACGGAAATAAAGGAACATTTAATCTCAATTAATAAGGCACATAATAGGCCTGATTTGATCAGCCGAGTATTTAGAGCGAAAATAGAAGAATTCAAAAAGGATATAGTAAAGCGAAATATCTTTGGAAAGGTAGTAGCTCTTATGTATACTGTAGAGTTCCAAAAGCGAGGTTTACCACACACTCATTTTCTTATAATATTAACTAATGAATACAAGTTACTTACCCCAAAGGCTTACGATAATATTATTTATGCTGAAATACCTGATGAAAATGCAGAACCAAATTTATATTCGCTTGTTCTTAAACACATGATGCATGGTCAATGCGGTAATCTAAACCCAACAAATTCTTGTATGAAGAAAAAAGGTTACTGTAAATTCAAATATCCAAAAAGCTTTGCGGACCAGACATCAAAAAGAGTAGAATCTTACCCAATTTATAGAAGATGCAATACAGGACTGGTGGTTAAAATAAGAGAACAATACTTGGATAACTCATGGGTTGTTCCATATAATCTTTTTTTGCTCGGTAAATTTGACTGCCATGTGAATGTTGAGATATGCTCTGATATTAAAGTCGTTAAGTATCTCTATAAGTATATATGTAAAGGACATGACAAGATTGAATTTTCAGTACATAATAATGGCACAAATGCAGAAGTAGATGAAATAAAGGAATATCGGTCTGCTAGATGGGTGTCGCCTCCCGAAGCTATGTGGAGCTTGTACGGTTTCTCCATTAGTGAAATGTCACCGACTGTATGCTCTCTTCAACTTCATCTTAAAGGACAACAATTTATTTCATTCAGAAGCAGCGCAAATATAGATACACTTGTAAAGAATCTGTTGATTAAGCGGACGATGTTAACACAATTTTTCGAAATGAATAGAACAAATGCAGAGGCTATAGATCTCAATCTATTATATCGGGAATTCCTTGAACATTTTGTTTGGTCTTCAACAGAGAGGATGTGGACACCTCGAAAACAACGACGTGCTATTGGTCGTGTTGTAACATGTCATCCAACAGAAGGTGAGCGATATTATCTTAGAATGCTATTAATGACTATTAGAGGACCAAAATCATATAAGGATTTACTAACTGTTAATGGAGAACGTTGCCAGCACCTTTAGAGAATCTGTGGAAAAACGGGAGTTGCTACAAAGCGACAATAGTTTGCTTGAATGCATGTCATAAGCAGCAAGTTACCTGTCACGACCCAATTTCCCCTCCGTTGGGTATCGTGATGGCACCTAGTTTTAGAGACTAGGTAAGCTTAACATTTACTGAATAAAAATAATAATAAAGAAAATCTAATAGTGTCGATATAGAAATCTTTACAAAATTTACAATTTTCCAAAATCGGTAGTACAAGTCATAAGCTCTACAGAGTTTACTACAACTTCTAAATACAACTGTTTGGAAATAAGTACAAACAATGTGGACACAAACAGGAAAGTGACTCCGAAGCCTGCGAACGCCACAACAGGTTTACCATGAATCTCCTCAGCAAGAATCCGCACAGCTACTAACGAACAAAATACTTGGATCTATACAAAAAAATGTACAGAAGTGTATTATGAGCACACCACAACGGTGCCCAGTAAGTATCAAGACTAACCTCAGTGGGGTAGTGACGAGGAACAGTCAAGACACCTGCTCGTCTAATAAATTGAACAAGTATGAGTATAGGAACAACAATGTATGAATTCTACATAAAGACTACGCAAGATAACTAACGATACAGAAATTTGCAAATCAGAAGGAAACAACAAGTAACATCGGAACACCATAATAATAAAACAGAAGGGTGAACCGCAACACAACCCGAATCCGAGAAACACAGATACAGCAAGGACAAGTAATAACTCGGCAACTACGACAGTTCTCACATCAGGTCTTAGCCAACAAACCCCAATCAATTAATCAAATTCTTCAAGTATAAATCTTTCAACCATAAGTTTTCAAATAAAAATCTTTAGAATATAATCCTTCCAAATAAAGATATTTCGTGATATACTTCCTTCATAAATATCTTTTAAACATAGTTCTTCCAAAATAAATACCTTTTGAATATAATCTTTTCGAATAAATATCCTTCAAATATAAGTCACCCAGTGACACCTCATCTCATAATCATACAATACGGGTCTCAACACTTGAACCCTAACACTTGGCATCCTGTGCTCTCATCACACTCATAACCGCACTGACGACTCACGTGCCCAATAGAGCCATTCTCACATAGAAGGCAAGTAAACAAGGGTGTGCATCTATAATCAACAATATCAAGGAAACCTCTTATCCGATAAGGGTGCTTAGCCACGTGTATGCTTGTGCTAGTGTCCTAACATAGTTCATACCGGCTAGTAAGCATAAGAAAAAGAACGGACATCACGTCGAATGTTTACACAGGAATAGAATCAATGAAAATCAACAGCTCAGAACACAATGATAACAACAGGGGATCTAGCGAGATACCGTCTCGTAGTCCCAAAGTAAATGTGCAGGGGGATCTACCGGAATACCGTTCCGTAGTCCCAAAATAAATACGCAGAACATGGGGATCTACCGGAATACCATTCCGTAATCCCAAAGTAAATATGTAGAATAGGGGATCTACCGGAATACCGTTCCGTAGTCCCAAAGTAAATATGCAGCGCAACCAACAGAGTTAACAGTTACAGCACGGTAGAAATCTCGCACATCACCACAACAAGTACAACAGCAGAAATGACAATAATACAAAGTACGACGAGTAAATCAACTCAAGAAATTTATACCACAAAGAAACGATAGAACCAGTTCACAAGGAATAACCACAATAAAGAATGCTATGCATAAAGGGGCCAGTTCAACAAGGGAAAACTAATATGTAGCAACGATCCCACAATAGACAAGTCAACAATAAGGAAGCCAACACGAGTCAAATAGTTCCAAATAAAGGTAAGTCAACTAAGATATAGGTTATCTAAACTCCTTTGAAGGTTGAGCAATTGCGAAGGATATTCAACAATTCAAATAAAGGTAAGCAGCAGAAGATAACCATAACTCCAATTAAGAATAAACAACTATAGGATGAGATAATAATAATTCCAATTAAAGATAAGCAGTTATTAAAAGGTAGCATGACGATAGAAGAGGCAAAATCTTCAGTTAAGTCAAATAAGAGTCAAATAGGCAATAAGAGTCAATCCTAAAGCAATTAATTCTAATTAAAGCGTGTAGAAGTGAAACCAGCAAATAGGAACTCAAACGTATCACGAACAACTTCATACACAGTGAATATAAGGACTTAAGAACCCTAAAGGCCACTTTTCATAAATAAGTCCGAGCACGCACTCGTCACCTCACGTACACGAACTACAATCAACATAGAAGACCCAAATTCTAAGGAGAAATCCCCCACACAAGGTTAGGCAAGATACTTACCTCAAAGAAGACAAACCGATACATTAAAATGAACTTCTCGGGTGAAAAGACCTCCGGACGGCTCAAATCTAACCAAAATAACTTCAAAGCACAAATAAAACTCATAGGAAACTATTTGGATCATAAAGTCTCAATCTTTAACAAAATCCAAAAATCGGTACAAAAGTCGACCCCCGGGCCCGCACCTCGGAACCCGATAAATTTTACAAAATCCGAACACCCATTCCAATATGAGTTCGACCATACAAAAATTATCAAATTTCGATATCATTTGGCCTTTCAAATCATCATTTTTCATTTTTGAAAATTTTCTTCAAAAACCAATATTTTCCTCAACAAAAGACACAAATTAAATGATAAAAATGAAGATAAAATCATGGAACATATTAGATACTAGGTGAAGAACACTTACCCAATCGATTTTCCTGAAAAACCCAAAAAGAAGCTCCTAAAATCGAAGTCTAAAACTCAAAATATGAAGAAAATGGCCAAACCCTCAATTTAAATGATTCTGCCCAACACTTCCGCATCTGCGGACACATAAGCGCATCTGTGTGCTATCGCATTTGCGGGCAGACATTCGCATTTGCGAACTTGACTTACAAGCCTAGGTACGCATCTGCGGACAATATAGCCGCATTAGCGGCGCCGCAGAAGCGATAACAGGAGCGCAGAAACAGGCTCCTTCGCAGATGCGATAGATCAACCGCAGAAGCGGTTACGCACCTGCGTTCCAGCATTCGCATAAGCGAGCTAGCTTCCAGGCCTCAAAGATCGCAGATGCGACTCACGCAGAAGCGGAGCAGCACCTGCGCTCCAAAGTCGCAGGTGCGAAAACACAAGAATTAGACATGTTCAAAACCATGCAAAACATCCGAACTCGTCCGAAATACACCCGAGGCCACAGGACCCCGTCTAGACACACAAACAAGTTCTATAACTTAACACAGACTCGCTCGAGGTCTCAAATCACATCAAACAACGCCAGAAATGCAAATCGCGCCATGAATCGAACTTATGAACTTTCAAATCTTCCAACTTCTAAAACTCGCGCCGAAACCTATCAAATCAACCCGGAACGACGCCAAATCTTGCAGACAAGTCCCAAATGACATAACGTAGCTGTTCCAACTCTCAGAATCGCATTCCGACCCCGATACCACAAAAGTTAACTCTTGGTCAAACTTCTCCATTTTCCAAACTTTAACTTTTCCAACTTTCGTCGAAATTCTCCAATTTACCCTACGGATCTTCAAATCCAAATTCGGATGCACGCCTAAGTCCAAAATCACCATACGAAGCTGTTGAGATCTTCCAAAACTCATTTCGGAGCTGTTTACACAAAAGTCAAATTCCGGTCAAATTCTTATCGCTTAAGCTTCCAAAACTAGATTCCTTCTTCCAATTCAACTCCAAATCATCAGGTAACTGATTCAACCATGCACGCAAGTAGATAAACATAATATGAAGTTTCAAGACCTTACACTGCCAAACGAAGCTTAAATTCTCAAAACGATCAGCCGGGCCGTTACATTACCAGATGCCATACAATTTGAGACGTTTATTTGCTACATTACTGATTTACTGTAATCCTACTAATCCAAGACAACTCTGGGAACAATTTGAATAGCACATGTCCAAGGATTATACGTTGGTACCCGATATTCACGAAAAAGATATTCGATACCGGGTTTTAAACCATATTAATGACATATTACACTCTATGGGTGGTGACATAAATGAATATCAACTCATTCCTGAAACAATAAGGCCTTCTGTAGCGGCAAAAGAGGCAAATGAGGTACACTTTGAAAGGACCATCGCGGTTACTAATGAGGATATACTATTACACAAAAAGTTGATAAAGATCAACCTAAAGCATACAATATAATTATAGAGAGAATTTTTTCAAACAAAGTTGGGGCATTCTTCATTGATGGACCTGGAGGAACAGGGAAAACCTTTTTATATCGTGCATTGTTGGCAACTGTACGATCTAAAGGGTATATAGCATTGACAACTGCCACTTCCAACGTAGTTGCATCTATACTTCCTGGTGGACGAACTGCACATTCACGTTTTAAAATTTCAATAAATACTGATGAAAATATGACCTGCAACATCAGAAAACAAAGCTCACTTGCCTGTTTGATTCAGGATGCAAAATTAATTATATGGGATGAAGTATTTATGGCGAAAAAGAGAACGATCGAACTGCTTGATTTACTTTTAAAGGACTTAATGGATTCAACGATACTATTCGGCGGAAAAGTTGTAGTTTTTGGAGGTGACTTCAAGCAGACATTGCCAGTATTTCGGAACGGAAAAAATAAAGATTTTATTAACGAAAGTTTACTATATTCTCATATTTTGGAAGAACTTGAAAGGCTGCGATTATTCGAAAATATGAGAGCGAAATATGATCCTTCATTTTGTAATTATTTGTTGCGAATAGGAAATGGAGAAGAAAAAGTAAACTCAACAAACAAGATTGAAATTCCAACTTCTTTGATCATTCCTTATACAACCGAAAAGGAATCTTTGGATAAAATTATTCGCGATAACTTATCCAGACGTGCATACAATTTTTTCCTCCTCATCCTGTACAAGTTCCCCTGTTATCTTAACAACTAAGAATGATTTCGTCGATGATATCAATGACATGCTTGTTGCTCGCTTCCCAGAAGAATCAAAAACTTTTATTGGTATTGATGAAACTATTGAACCTCATGATCAATCACAATTTGAGGATATGTACAGTTTAAATCCACCTGGTCTGCCTCCTTACAAATTGACATTGAAACAAAACTGCCCAATTATATTATTACGAAATTTAAATTTGTGTGATGGTTTATGTAATGGAACACGTTTGACTTGCTGTGATTTTAAATCGCATGTCATTAGCGCCAATATTTCAGTTGGTCACTTTAAGAATACACGTGTGTTTGTCCCTAGAATACCATTATTATCATCCGAAGATGAAAAAATGCCTATTCCATTTAAAAGGACACAATTTCCTGTAAGACTGTGCTTTGCAATGACTATAAATAAAGCGCAAGGTCAGACATTAGATTTTGTTGGAGTTTATTGGCGAGAACCTGTGTTTTCGCACGGTCAACTTTATGTGGCTTTGTCCAGAGCAAAGAGTTCGAACTGTGTTAAAGTGCTAATTCGACCCACTATACCAGGTAGCGAGGACGATCACTACACGGATAACATTGTTTACAAAGAAATCATCGAAAAAGCTACTTTATGAGGATATTGCGACAAGAACAGATAGTATCCTAACAAAAAAAAAAATGAAACAACTCATGAAGGATACTGATGATGTGCAATCCGGTGGGTAGCAATCAGCTTGTATTCGCTCAAGCGATGAAACGATAGCTGATGCTCTTTTCGCACATGACTGCTCCAACAAAGATGAATCAATAAGAGGCTGTGGCATTGGCTAAGATGGTCGTGGAGAGGCATTTTTGCATGAAAATTTAGTACATACTGCTGAAGCTAAAGGGCAATATATAGCTGGACAATCGATGGCATCACTTAATACACAGGTGGAGAACTGTTCCTAGCTATATGTAATTATTTCACAATCTAAAAGATGACATAGATATTTTTAAACAGATGTACCTCTATATTTTGAGAGTTTACTGCAATTGAACTTTACATGAGAAAAAATAATATGTTAGGTTCTACAGAGTCATTAGGTATACATGGACAAGCCAATTAGCCATGAATGATCTTTTAAACTAATAATGCCAACTTTGTGTGCTAATTATCACTGCATATGTATAATTATTAAATGGAAAATTTTATTATCTGTGTGTACCTATTTTTTATCTTTGGGTATATACTGATGATGTCTTCTTTTTTCCCCCAATGTAGAGTCTGCATATATAATATATGGAGCACAGATTAACCATTGATAGGATCACTCCACAAACAAAAGAGTGGACGTTAAAGGTACAACTCATTGAGAAACCTTGGCCAAGGCAAAAGTAAAGATAGAAAGACGCGATTCCAGATTGTTGTTGTCCGAGACGAAAGAGTAATCTTCTAACTACCGCATCACTTCTTATTCTACTGGTTCAAATATAATTACAATAGCCACTATTCTTTAATTGAAAGAAAAGAAAGAGATCCGTCAACTTAGGTAATCACAACTTAGCTATGTGAGGAAATCAATATTTGGGATGCTCTATGAAAGTAGATATTCCACATTTACCATTCATGTCTGTCTGATATGAGTTTCTTCAGATAAAAATTGTGGTACCAAACTTTGGAATTTCTTCTTGGGATTACTTACTTCTGCCTTTATAGTACTTTATTTGTCCAGAAGGATGGATATATTTGTGTTTGAAATTTGCTTAAACTTCTTACATCTTGAGAAATTAAAGAGCAAGAATTCGGAAAGCAGGACCAATTTGATGGTAATTATTTCATTCATTAAATGTTCTTTCTCCAAGGCCGCACTCTGATAAAACAAATATTCATAAATTATTGTAGTTTGTTCCTTCATTAGATGTGAACATGTAGTGGTCAAATATGATGATAAGCTTGTCATTAAGTACCTCTAATTACTTTTAGCTTAAAATTTATCTTCCGAGATATGATATATGAGATCTATTACGTTACACAAAGTAATATAAATCGTTATAAATTCTAGGAAGCTGCTATTTGTATCTTAGGAAGCCTTTTCAAATCCAAATTATGCATTGCAATAAACAACACAAAAGCAGATTACATATACTATTTCAAACAAAAGAGTAAATGGAAGCATTCTTGCATACGGTGGAAATTGGGGCTACCCGATTTCGTCCTCTGATGGAAAAAGTGATACCACGTCGGAAGGCCAGGACGTCGAGCTCGGGGTCGAAGTTCCTTTCCAAGATTGAGGTTGGCATCATTCACCGAGGTCAGAAGAGGTCATACTTCGAGATGATGTCATTATAATTCAGTAACAGAAAGAGCGAGATACCCGTAACAGACCGAAGATCAAGGCGCGAATTTCAGAATGGATTCGTCCTCGGCGGTTAATCAATTTTCAAATATGATTTCCTACTATAATTAGAAGTGTACCTTATTTAGGGCTCCCCTATTATATAAAGAGGGATCCCATTCATTTGTAGGCATGATTATTCATTGAGAAGAATATATACACTCATTGCTTTCTTATTATTCATAAAAGTTGCTTTATCATTTGCTATTCTTATTATCACACCTCGAGGCTATCACAAGTCGGGGTCGAAATTTGGCTAGCATACTGGTTTGATCTATTTTATTCTCTAATTTATCTATTTAATTCTTTGTTTATCAATTGTCATTAGATTGAATCACATATACTTAAATCCACAATATAAGTTTAATTGTTACTCGAATTTTAGGGTAAACAGTTTGGCGCCCACCGCGGGGCTAAGGATAATAGTGATTGTTCCAGTGCTGATTCTGATAACACACGTTATTTCACACTTGTTCTTGCCAAGTATTTTTGCTTTCAGGTTAAAACATGTCAAACTCACAAAACGCACCCGTACATGGTGATGATTGTCTCGGATTTCACGGGGAAAATGACAATGTAATTGCTCCAGGAGCCGGGGTGCCACCGAATCTCGGAGGAGCACAGTTGCCAATCCAGTCGATATCAGTTCACACGTTGCTCTAAATGCGGACCTAGGCGCAGACCTCGAAGGAGTGTACGTAGGGAAGGACGATCTGGTGGTCAAGGTACACAGGGCAGAGGAGACGGAGGAGTTAGTCTCTAGGTGATATTCGAGATGCTACAGGCTCAGCAGGCCGCTATCGCTCAGTTGCAAAATCAACATAGCACTCCAAGTGGGGTCAAGCCCGAGCCAGTGCTAGGGAGGTCGAATGGTAACGAGTCAGGGACTAATCCTGCGATAATGAAAATGCTCGAGGAGCTCACCAAAAGAATTGAGTCAGGAGAGAAGAAAATCGAAGATAATGACAAAAAAGTGGAAACATACAACTCCCGAGTTGATCAGATACCAGGGGCACACCCGATCCTAAAAGGTTTGGATTCAAAAAAGTTCGTGCAGAAGCTTTTTCCTCAAAGTGCGGCTCCGAAGCCCATTCCTAAGAAGTTTCGTATGCCGGATATACCTAGGAGTAGATCCATTATGAAATGGCGTATCGTTTACATTCATTTCACTTTAGATCATGCCAAAAGAAATAAGGAAGAGTCTTAACATACCTTAACCCCATTGAGTTTTTAATACCTTTAAAGCAACTCTTCAAACAAGTCAACTCAATCTTAGCTAGTAGCAACAACTTGAAATTTCAGCCAAACACAGCCCAAAACTATCCTCAATGACAATACAACCTCAAAGAAGTGTTGTTCTTTACCAGAACTAACTTTTGACGTTGAAATATGGTGTAATCACTTAGGAATAACTTCAAACCCTTATGGTATCTGTTTAGGAGGGTTAGAAGAAGTTTGGAGATGAAGTTGGGTTGAAAATGAGCAAAAAAAAGGCTTCCAAATCGTTTATAAAGTGAAGTAGGTCGACCACCGCCTAAGTGGGTCCCATTGGGAGCTGCTTGCGCGGGCTCGTAAAAATGTGAATATCTCTCTACTCCGATGTCATATTGATGAACGGTTTAATGTATTAGAAACTAGACTCGTAGATATTCAATTTGATATGTAGATAATCCCTTAATTCCAAGTATATTGGGTGAAAAGCGCAGCTACATTTGACCTAATTTTTAGCATATTATGAATGTAACTTGTGATGATCTTTGCCAACGTTTGTTCCATAACTCGCTTGACTTCAAAACGTAACATACGACTATCATAAAACTAAAATAACTCATAACATAAGCTCCTTATCATGTTAAGCACCCTAGTCTCACCCCAAAAGTACATGTTATAACATTCAAAACTTGTCGACTTTCGACGAAACTTATTTTCTTCAATTCGTTTGGCGTCTAAGCTTTCCAACCCTCTTGGTACTTTTTATTCAGGATATTAAATATTTGTAACCTCCAAGGTAACATGATTATCTTACTTTATGCACTTTCAAAAACGATTTCATTTCTGAGCTTACATCAGTTGACTTACGACGTACTCTCACGTACGAAAATATGGGGTGTAACATCAATATGTTTAGTTAATATTCTTAAGTATGATCATGAAATCAACAAGAGCCAAGTAAGCTAATAGCCATTAAATTATAAATCAAGTAAGGCAATTGTATGACAAAGGCCATGGTGAAAGAAGTCTGTCATATCTAAATCAATAAGTCATAAACCTAGCATAGTCTCCAATCATGATTAAGTTTCATCATGTAGCTATAGAATCAATGAAACATGGATAAACAATTCACATAGTCCAAATAAAGCATATCATGAGTCTAACTCTAGGCTATGCTCATAACGTAGCTACGCATATACACTCGTCACCTCGTATATACGTGGCACCTAAATCAAGTAACAAGTAGCAACTAAATTACCTATGGAGAGAATTCCTCTTACAAGAATAGACAAGAGAATTACCTCCCACCTCAGAACACCTTCAACCTACCAAGATTTAAGAATAGTCAAATATTACTTCAATGAGTCAATATAAGATACAGAATAAACCCCAAACAATGAAGTTTGAACCTTTAATCAAATCTCAAAAAGTTAATTAAAGTCAACTCGGGCCCACACATTCAAAATCTGAGTCTAGGGGTAGTTCATGTTGACCCATTACTCCACGAATCCAAATATATGTTTAGATTTCCATTTGGAGTCCATTTGGGTACTCAAAACTCAATTTGGGTGATTCTAGCTCTAGGTCTCAAAAATCCAAAATTTCTCTTGTTCAAATCCATGTTTTGATGTTAAATCTAGTGATGAATTTATGTATAAACCATAGATTTAGGTCAGAGTCATTTACCCTAAATGTGTAGGTGAAACCCTTTTCTCAAACCTCTCAAAATGAGCTCCAAAAGTTGAGAAATAAAATAAAAATTTATAAAAATCGACCTTAAATAGATTCCGAAAGTAGCTGTCAAAAATGTGCCCAGATGAACGCACAATCCCAAAGGCCTACACTGACCCTCTTCTGGTAAAATTGCCATAACTGTATGTACAAAAGTCAGAATGACGAACGATTTGAACCACCAGAAACGAGACTCAAAGTGCTACGAACTCATCCCAAAATCCTTTATAGATTGGGATAAATGATCTTTTGAAGTCAGGCCATCTACAGAAAAGACATGTTTCAGCAACTCAATTCTTCCCGAACTTGCTCCA